GTCAGTGATAGACCCATGAACAGAGAAAACAGTGTTCCTGCCAGGGTATAATTTATATGTTAGCTGGAGTCACAGCGAATAAACAATAAACAGATGAATGTGATCAAAGAGTATAAGAAGGCAGATGGAGGTGACTGGTGTCCGGGGGAAAGAGCGTTTAAGCAGAGAAGAGAACAAGGGAAAGCTCCCGCCAGGGACATTATGTTAAATGAAATAAGCCATGCAAAGAAATGTAACTATTGTATGCTCTCGTTCATTTATGGAAGCTGAAAATATTGACTTTATGGAAGTAGAGTAGAGGTCACTAGAGGCGAGGCAGGTTAGGGGCAGGGAAGAGAGGGAGGCTGGATGGTGGCTACTAAACAGCCATCAAATAAATGAAGTTAGTTCTAATCTTCTATAGCACAGCAAAGTAACTATAGTCTACAACACTTATTATAATTTTATAATTATTAAAGAAGAGTTTACTGGTCCCCAACACACAGACATGATACTAGTGGAAGAGGTAGAAAATACTTCTGATTTAGTTAGTAATAAAATAACCCCATTTGATCAATATACATTGTATTTCTGAACACATTTTCATACTTGGACCTCAGCAATATGTATGAATATTACATGTCAATTTAAAAAACTAAAATAAATACAAGAAATGGGAAAAAATCCTCTCAAGTTCCTTCTTCTCTAAGCTGCCTTTGAGGTTTCTTGGGAGTTGTCTTAGCCTCATTTAATTGGAAAGGAGCTGATAGTTCAGAGACATTGACTGTATTGTCCTATGTCTCCCTGTCACCCACAAACTGGAAGTCTCACATCCTTGGTTTTTTCTGCATCCTTTTCAAGCTGCCTGGAGGAGGAGATGGGAAGATTTTTCACAGGAGAAAACTTTAAACGGAACCCAGCTGATGAAACAAGACCACTCATCCATTTACTCAAAAATAAGAAAAGTTAAAATAGCCTCAAACATAAAAAGTGGCTCTTTTCACAGTGGCAAAGGTTTGGTCAAAGGAGCTGCTGTCTCAGCTTCACTTTCATGACTCATTTTTTGTCTTTAATTGCTTGATAATCGGAGCATTTTTTTACATGTTAGTATTTTTGTACATACTTTGAAGTATTAAAGAAACAGAAAGTTAAAAGATCTTTCACTTAACAAGGTTCCTATTCTTCTTCCAAAGATATAAAAGAAGTAAGTTTCTTACCAAATCATTCATTACAAATTCAATTTTCACAGGCTTGGTGGGGACATAAAATATCAAATGAATATAAATATTTAATATTTCATGCTTCAAAATAGCTCATTGTCCTGTTTCTATGGCCATCCCTAGGCTGTTAATAACTGATATTGTGTAAAGATTCAAAGTTTAGGAAAAACAAAATTCAGAAGTGTTAAGGCAGTTCACCAGGTAGGAGGAGAATCAACAATATCCCATCATGCTTCACCTATTCCTCCTGCCAAGGCATAGAGTGCTTTGCTAAGATTGACAAGGTTTTAGATTAAATTAAGTAGAAATACACTGTGGCACAATGTAGGACTTTCCTACAAATGAGCATGGCTTTGTGTGCTCATTGGCTTCCACAGCCTAAAAGGTGCCCAGCGATGATGTCTGTCAAAAGGAAATAGGGGGTTCACCAAACCCACCGTGGCTACTGCGTAACTAGGGACAGAGAGAAGTTACAGTTACCTTGAAATACAAGACACAGGAATCACAAGAATACAATAGCTCCTTGAGAGCCAGGACAGTCATTTCTCTTTTTAAAAAGTCAAATATTTTAGAAATATTTTGCCTTTGAATCTTTTGACACTTATTTGTGAAGCAGTTTATGAGCCAGAGCTACAGCTATAAAATGAAGTCTAGAAATTTCAATTTAGTGGGATGATTTGATTCTTTAGGCGAATAGTGTCTTCCTGCATGAAAATCAAAACAAGCCCTGACACTGAATATGCTTTTATCATAAAATGCTTGCTTGAGGTGTAATGTTATATTTATTTGTCTGCCATGTAAATGTAAATTCAAAATTTTTAGCGAGTGTGCAAAGATAGAGCAGGTTAATAAAGCACCACTTGTTTTTTTCACTCCGTATTCTAAGATGGTCTTCCACTCAGAGCAAGGGCGCTACAATGATTCCACATATTCTTGTTTAATTCAACAGAACCCAACTATTCATATTTTTTGAAATAGGGAGAAAGAAACAGCTGTCTCAGAGACAGAGACAGCTACAGAGACAGTGACAGCAAACGAGACAGACAGAAAAAATAACAAGGACAAGAATAAGCCTGGCATAAAGAAGCATGGCTGTAATCCCAGGATGCCAGGGGCTGAGACAGGAGGTCTGCGAATTCGCGATTGGACTAAACTATATAATTAGACCTTGTCAAAGAAAAAGAAAACACAAAATTATCACTTCATATAGTATAAGTAATCTTATTACTATCCCATTGATTGAGGACAGGCCAGGAACAAACAGAAAAGAGATTTTGCAACTATCTATGTATCTGGCTGTCTGTCTGTCTGTCATCTATCTAGCATCTATCTGTCCATACAGGCTTGCATACACCAAACAAGACATATTGTACTTTATGGGCAATATGGTAGATGATTATGAATAACAGGCTATTTTTCATTTTCACCTAAGAACTTTAGGATCTACAGTAATCCTTACATTACTGTCCCATAAGAGGAAGATTTTGAAGTTATTTTTCTGGTGAAGGAATGAACTTGGTTGAGGCTATTTTTATACCCTCTGTGGGCTCCCAAATGACCACAGACACACACTGTAGCACCAGGCTGAAGTTGAGAGCTCAGTGCTGGTCATGGGACAAAGCAAAGTAATTGAGTATATTTGTTGGATTGATGCAATTTGTCTTTCTTTTTAACTTGATGTAAAATCACATGGAATACAAACAGGATTATGAAAGCAACAGTCCTTTTATACAACTAACATATCTAAGAGTCTGTTAGCTCCAAGCTAGGAGTCTCTGAAGGCAAACCCTTATAAAGGAGTTTAAAAACATAGAGAGAAGATAGAGAGATGCCAAATGAACTAACATGGAGGAAAGGATATGAATTAATGTACAGATTAGGTAAAACAGTAAAAGGAATACGAATTGAAAATTTACTTTGAATTATTAACTAGTATACAGGACTTTGAAGGTTAAGACTATCATTTTCTTAGAATAGTCTTGGTCTTTAATTGTCCTTAATAGGCTAACATTCAATTGTGTTTACATTTTTCTATGATAGCTTCCAACTTTTGCCTATTCAATATTGTAATAATCTCCCTCTCCTCCTTGCTAATAGAATGCAATTATTTTATGAAGAATGTATCCTCACTCCCATTCCAGGACTCCCCAAAAGCCTAACTTCCCAACATTCATAGGCCACTGAATATTCATTTGATCTATTGCTGCCCAATGAAAATCAAACAGAAGCTTGTGAAGGTTGGAAAGCTAGTCCATTACTCTTTAAAGAGATGGTACAGATGCTTTCTCCTTCTTTCTTCCTCCATCCTTTTCTCCTCCATTCTGTCTTGATTCAAACATGATGTATGGAATTATGGCTGCCATATGTATCCACAAGCCAACATGTTGGTGAAGCAACCAAAAAAATTAAATTTCTGGTTCTAACGTCTGCCAGCCAAAAGTCACTAGGCTTCTTGTTATGTGTGAAAAATAAATCTACCAATTTAAGCAACTTTTATGTTGGCTTTTATTAAAGCCAAACCCAAAGACAGGAGTTGGGGGAAATTTAGAAGCCCTTTAAAGGAGGATTACACATGAAAACACAGAAATGTTATAGAGTGACACTTGGTATCCAAGGTCTTTGGCTGTCCTCAGGAACATAAGAGCTTCTGTTTTCCTGTCTATTTGAAAATTCTACAATAGCTCCTATATCCTAAGAAGGAAAAGGGTTGTGGGGAGAGAGGAGAAAAGTGGCTATGTTCCCTACGTATTCTGTTTTTTACCCTCAGCTGGGCTGAGGAACAGTGAGGGTAAATTCCAAATGACCATTTTATGGATGAATGCTGTTCCATACCCCAATTCACATGTTCCAGCCCTCACTGCTGTGTGCTCTTGTTCGTAGAATCTTTAAGGAGGTGATTCAGGTTGGATGAGGCCATGAAAGTGGAGCCATGATCTAACGGGACAGATATTTCTATAGGAAGAGGAAGAAACAAAGGGACCAAGCAGAGAAACGCCCCAGTGAAGACACAGCGAGAAGGAAGCCATGGATAAGCCAGCAAGAACAGAATCACCAGAGACCAGCCCAGCTGACACCTCAAATTTGTATCCCCCAGAACTGAGAAATATCAGTTTCCATGTGCAGAGCCTACTCCTAGCTCTGGAAACATGGACCTTAGCTGGCCATGTATGGGAAGAGATTGAATACATAAGAGCATAGAATAAATGTATCAGCCAAGCTATAAAGGCAATCATAAAAAGTGGTGTGATCATGTTTCCTTCCTGCGTAGATATAAAACCTTCCAAGGCCTTGCTGTCACCTATTGTGTGAGCCTCCTTTCCCCAGTCTTTACCCATTAGTCATCGATGCCCTAAGTAGCAGTGCTCTCAATACACGATAGGACAGCAACCAAAGGAAGAGGCTGGCAGCTGTCGCAGTAAATCCTCAGGGCCCTTATCCTCTCAGCATGGGTGAATTTTCAACAAGCTCCTAAGGAAGGCTGATGCTGTATTTCTGATGGCTGAAATCCACTGCTTTGAAACAAAAGTTAAGTGTACAAAGCTTTTTTTTTTTTTTTTTTTTTCACTTAAGGCCTAATCTTTCCATGAACAGTTCTTAAGAAAGCTCTTATGTGAACTTCCTTTTCAAAAACTCTGAAGACCAGTCACAAGCTGACTTTGTTTGAGAAATGTACTGGGACTCAGTCTTGTGACAGGAGGATCCCATCAACTGATCCATTCATTCGGGACACTCTCCACACGCCGAGAGAAGTGCCCTTCTGTCTGCAGAGCTGAAGGACAGGCTTTTTGAAATATTTCCTACCTGTGAAGAGGGCATGATAGTGGAGACCCCGCTCCTTGTCTTGATGGGAGCAGACGTCAAATAAGTAGGCTTTGATGGGCCCATCAATGAAGTCAGCAGCAAAATCAAAGAGAACCACACCTGTCATGGTGACGCTTATGGCCCAAACCAGCTTCTTCTTTGGGTTAACAGTCAAAGCTAAAAGAGAAATCAACAGTAATCCTGCTTTAGAATAATCCACATTTTAAATTTTACCTAAACTGTCTGTCATTTGCTTTCATTTTATTTTGTTTTTCCAAATAAAAAATTTATTTTTTTTAGAATTCTAAAAATTCTGAAAATGAATGAATGCCCAGGGAGAGACGTCCACAGGTAGAAAGCGCATTATAGATTTCCCAGGGCTGGTACCTAGGATGAAATGAAAGATGACCACCAATGGTAATGGATTTCGTTTGGTGGTGATGAAGCTCTCAGGATTAGAGCATAGTGATGGTTCACACAATCTTGTGAATATACTAAAGAACACTGGGTTATGTGCTTTTAAATGAATTTTTTGATATATAAATTATATCCCTTTAAGAAATAAATTATACATATTTGTTTTAAACAATGGCAATGGCACAGAAAGAGCTGAAGAAATTTCCCTAACATTTAACCCCAGTGATGGTTTTCCTCTGAGAGGAAAATGGCTTCCCTTCATTCACTTCTACTCATGTAAATTGAGGCACACAAAGGTACCCCAAATGCAGTGCTTCTCCATTTCTAACAGCCCCTGGTGACACTGACACTTCTGTATAGCTCTGATAAATTAGATCAGGTAGTACATGCCTAACCTTGTTCAAACAGCTTTCCTTATGCATGTGCATTTCAGTGACAGAAAACCAACCTCCTACTTTTGACAGATAAATAATGTTCTTCCTAAGGATAAGTTGTCACTCAATGATGCAGTCTGTGACAGGAGACGCATTGTTGTTTCCATTTTTTAAAATTTATTTTTATATCTAAGAATGGTGTATAAAATATATGCACACATTAAAATATTTCCAGTATAAAATTGCATGAAAAATAAGCTTACTATTCCCTTCTGTCCTCTAGGTGTTAGAGGTAACTATTTTTACCAGCTTGTTAATTCTTCCAGACATCCTCCATATATGTGTTTGTACTTTCTCTTGAACTATAATATAAATGATACATGATGCCCTCTTCATGATTATACATTCTGCCAATTTGAGAGTTAACAAGTCTACAAAAAGGCCTTTTTTTAAAGTTTAATGTTACTCTTTTCAAAGTATTACTACTAAGTACTGATTAACTGGTAGATGATTAAAAGCTAGAAGGTTTTATCATCAAATTTGTTGTTGTTCTGAATTTACAGTGCAAACACATTCCCTTGAGCTGACGAGCTGATGTCTAGCACTCATTAAAAGGTTTTACGTAAAGCCATGAAAAGAATTAACTCTCATTTAAACACAGAGATGATTTACTGGAAATGTTTATGGAACCATTTGATAGTTGATCAATTATACAAAGTACTCTTTAGGGCATAGTAGATTAACAACCAACTCTATTGATGAATATGGAAAAATATTTAATTTGATAAGATAGAAAACAATTTTAACACTATTTTAAAATCCTCACAACAGTCAAAGGCAAAGCACACTGATGTTTCTAGAAGGGTTTCTCAAAGGTAGAAGTTTGGTGCAGTTTAGGAGCCAGCAGTAACTTCACTCGAATGGTAAGCAACTCCACATTCTCCTCCTATATAAATGCCCAGGGGCACCCTGTGGATCCACTTACCTGATACTACACCATCTCCATTGAGATACAAAGTCAGGCCCAAGAGCATCATGATGGCCAGGGAAAGAATGTAGGGTCTCCGGCGACCCCACTTGGATCGGCAGTGGTCGCTGGCTGAGCCTACCGCGGGTTGCAGCACAAATCCCAGGACGGGACTAAGGATCCACACTACGCTGTACAGACTCTTGGGCAGGCCCACGCTGAGCAGCACCGGGGTCACGTAGGCTGCCTCCACTGCATAGCAAAACTCTCGGCCGAACATGGCGAGGCTGTGCATGATGAGTCTACCTGTGGATCTTCTGGGTGGCTCCACAAACCCAAAGAGGTCATCCTCCGTGAAGGATTGATAGGTGTGGTGGCCAGCCCGCTTGCCATTGCTGCCCATGTCCACAGAGTGAGGAATCTCCTGTGTGGCCCTCCACTCTGTGCTCCAAACTGAATTTGACAGGAAGCCTGCGCTGCAACCAGCAGAGATGGGCAGGCGGGGGGAGGGCCTCAAATTCTTTCATGCTTCTGAGATCACAAGTTACCAAGAGAGGGAAAGCAGTGTTGGCTCTGGAAAGCGTGACAAAGATTAGTGCTGTGAACCCTGGGACTCCCTGTGTGCACGCTTTTTAAAAGCTGCTTTCTCTCCCTCATATTCTCTCTGCCCCTCTCTGTCTGTGTCTCTGTCTGTGTCTCTGTCTGTCTGTCTCTCTCTCTCTCTCTTTATTCCACATAATCACACTTGGCTTTATGATAATAAAATCTTACTACATGGACCAAATCAAACTATGGAGGAATTAGTGTCCTTCTTGTTCTTGTTTTTGGTACTTGGCTCAAACCCAGGACCTTCACACTGAGCTACAAAATACTGCTCCTGTATTTTATATTTTGAGAAAGCGATCTGTCCAGGTTAGGCTTCAACTTGTGATTTTTCTGCCTTAGCTTCTCTCAGTGCTTGGATCAAACATGTGTACCGTCACCTCAAATTTATAAACATTTTTTATAGATGTTCTGTCTTTTTCTGGCTACAAGTTTTCTACATACACAACTCAGAAGTCAAGTAACTAGATGTATGTTAATAGGCATCTAGGCTGATTACAGATCTTGTCTGTTGTAAATTGTGCCATAGGTATACAGGTATTCCTACACTATGCTGACTTTAATTCCTTCAGGTATATATCAAGGTGAGAGATTAATGATCAACTACCTATGCATATCCATTTTCCCCTGCACCATTTGTTAAGTGGTTGTCTTTTCTTCAACCTATGTTTTTGGACCCTTTGTTAAAAATCAATTGTCTGTTGTTTGTGTGTGTTTGTTTCTGTGTCTTATATTTCATTCTATTGATCTATGTGCCTTCTTGCATCAGTACCATGCTGTTTTGGGTACTTTGGTTTTGCAATGCATTTTGAAATTGAATATTGTGACATTCTCAGTATGGTACCTTTCACTCATGATAAATTTGTGTCTTCTTTTACGCTTTGTATGAATTTTAGGATTGTTCCCATTATGTGAAGAATGACATTACTATTTTGATGCCTATTAACAGATGAATGCATAAACAATTCAGGATATATACAATATAGAGTGTTATTCAGCAGATCTCATTATATTCTTTGTAGGAAAATAGAGTGAATTAATCCAGACACAGAGAGACGTGCCTTATATGTTTTTCCTAATACTGGAGCCTAAAAAAGCAAATATGATGTGAAAATAAGAGATGATTGTTAGACAAGAGTTTGAGGGGTAGAGAGAGATAAGAGGGGAAATAAGGAATAGGTATAAGAAAATGTCTTAAATGTATGTATTAAAATGTCACATGACACCCAAAACGCATATGAGAAATTAGTATCCACTAGTACCAGTGTTGAAAACAAGAGAAGACTAGGAGTCAGAACATCAAAATTTAAATTCCTGTTATACATCTTCACACTTGTACTTCTTGGGGTATGTGGGGGAGGATCACTGAATCTGAAGCTTCCAAACTGTGTGCTAAGGCGCCCAGGGATCACAGTAAACTCCTGGACAAATCTTGACATACTAAAAGTAGACACAGTGAAATTTTACAGTTGAAACTAACCAGCTGACACAGATAAAATAATTTTGCAAATTACAAAAAGCAATAAATTAATGAAACCTAGAGTATGTTTAGAGAGAAGATATGAACATAGAGATAATGAAACTGCAATCTTTTGTGATGATTACTCTTGAATGTAAACTTCATTGTGCTGGGAAGCACCTAGGAAAATAGTAAAGCATAATTCAGAGTACATTTGTGAGGACATTTCTAGAGACAATTAGCACGTGGGACACCAAATTGAGAGGAGATCTACCCTGAACATCATTGGAACTATCCCATAAGTTGGAGACTTAGAGGAAATAACAATAAAAGAAGACACCATACCAGCACATACTCTTTCTTCTCCTGACCACCATGAAGTGAGCCACTTCACTCTACCAAAAGTTCTCTGACATGATCCTCTGCCTTACCAAGCACCCAGAAGCAGAAGAGCCAAAGGACCACGAACTGAACCATCTAAAGCCATGATCCAAAGAAAACTCCTTCTTTACATTGTTTTTCTCATAATGATAAAGAGTTAACACACCCTGCTCCATATGACTTGCTTTCTTTGTGGTCTTACAATTCATTGGATTTCACCACTTGTTACATAACAAGATCAATGCATTTAAATAAATGATAATTGTACAATGCCTTCAGAAATAAAATTATTCTTTCACTAGAATTTGTCATCATCAATTCCTGCTTATCTTTTATGACCTTAGGTCTCTCTATATTCTTTTTACTTACCTCATTACCGACTTCTAAATCTGCAATTTGTTGAAGATGACAAAAAGAAACATTTTTACACAGGGTTCTAGAGCTTTTGTTATCTGGTCACTAACAAAAATTACTATCTTGCTTACTTGTATTGATTCTATAAATTAAAACGTACACAAAACAAATTTTCAAACAACCATTTTATTTTGAATAGTCAACTAATCATGGAAATTATTATTTTAAGCTAGTATATCTGTTTATTCACAGAGTTTGCCAACTTGCTTTATTTTTTCTCTTACCAATTCTACTCAACGGGAATTTTTCTGAGCACCTATCATAACAGTAAATGTAGGTTAAAAAGTTATTTTTTGGTTAACATCCATTAGGTTATGTGGAAACTCTGAAGAAATCCAGGTTCAAGGACCTCACCTAAATCCACTGCATTCAAATCCCTGGGTGTGGCCCTAGAAATTGGTGTTTGAACAGAATCCCCAAGTAATCATTTCGTATGCTACAACCTCTACTCTAGGATCCTATGCCCTAGTGATGAATTTTGTGAACTACAGTAAAACTACTGTCATGGAGATAAGAACATAGTGCAATGGGAACATACTGTAGGAGATAAAAATGCACGGAACAGGCACTGTTTTAAGCACCACACTGGTAGAGTGATTTTTTTAATCCAAAGCCTTCTTGGATTCACAGTTCATAGCCACTGAACAATAGCTCCCTAGGTTTGAGAGGTACAGAAAGTTTCACAAAGAAATGTGCTTGAGTCATATCTGAGTTTGCTAGATGAACCAGTTGATCCAAAAGGAGATTGGCTAGTTCCAGAATATGATGTAGTATTTGGGAAGGAATAGAAGCAAGAGAGATCACAGCGTATTTATAAATTTCAGTTAGTCCAAAACAAAATATTGGGAAATGGAGGGGAGGCATAAGATTACAAGATGGAAGTATTAATTTAAATAATTCATACACTTTATATATTTTATTCTGTAGGAAAAAATCACTAAAAATTTGTGGGACTAGCAAGATCACTTTAATGTTAAAAATATAGCAGAAAAGTATGTGGGTGAAAAATGAAAGCAGAGGTACTAGAATAGAAAGTTTTATTCGGAAACAGCACTAGTGAGAAGAAAGAGATAAATTCAAGAGTTGTAAAGGTAAAACTGACAGTACTTCACTATTGAGAACTACTTGCTTAGCAACATTTACTAGATTTCCACTTTAGGTCTAGACGCTCTTCTGGGACCTGGAGATTTAGCAATGTATATGTTCAAAATCCCTTATAAAATTTCTGTTCTCTGTTTACATGACAGATTAAATGTCAGCAGTGACGTGTAATGTGAAGGAAAGTAAAACACGATGCGGAGATATTAAATGATAGGACAACTGCATCTTAGACAAGGGTCAGGAAGGAACCCTGTAGGGTAACATTAGCACAAGAACCTAAACAGAGTGAGAAGTAACTATCAATACAAGACCAGACACTTTAAAAAGCAAAAGGATTTTATTTGGATTTTGGACATTGTAATCTGGGAAAATACAGATTCAGACATGTCAGAATGACTGCTCTGAGCAAGCTCAGATTGTGCAGGATTTTTAAAAGGAAGAAGATGCTGAGTGGAAAGGAAATTTCCTGAGTTGTATGCAAAGGGAGATAATGGGTGCAGAGAAGTTATCCTAACACGAAGCCACATGTCATGAGACTCCAAGATTGATATCTAGATCTATCTCTAGCAGCAAAACACATTTCTCACCGATGACAACTGCAGTTGCAACCTCAAACAAAAGTTATTAATGACCATTTGCACATCTTTTGAGAAGTGTCTGTTCAGTTCATGTGTGCATTTATTAATTGGATTATTTATTTTGGTATCAAGTTATTTTAGTCATTTACATATTGTGGATATTAATCATCCATCAAAAGAATGGCTAGCAAAGATTTTCTCCCATTCGGTACATCATCACTTCACCTTTTAAATTGTGCCCTTTCCTGTACAGAAACTTTTAATTTGATATAATCCCATTTGTTTATTCCTGTTATTTCTTATGCCTTTGAAGTTGTACTTAAGAAACCTTGGCCTGTGCCTATGAGGGAACTATTTTCCTGAAGTTTTCTTCAGATATTTCAATGCATCGGGTCATATACCAGATCCTTGGTCTATTTTGAGTTAAATTTTGTAATGAGTGGGAGATAGAAATCTAGTTTCAAACTTCTCTATATGGATGACCAATTTTCCCAACACCATTTATTAAAGGAAGTGGTTTTGGCCCTTCATCAAGAATGTGTGGGGGATTTAGCTCAGTGGCATAAACACCTGCTGGGCAAGTGAGAGGTCAGGAGTTTGATCCCAGTACAAAAAAAAAATGTATAATTGGATGGCTTTGTTTCTGTGTTCCTGGATTATATCCCATCTATCTGTTTTTGCACATTATCATACTGTTTTTTTAATATAGTTGTGCAATGCTTTGAAATCAAGTGATACAGCTCTGGAATTTTTTTTTTTTTTAATTTCAGCTTAGTAGTTTGCTGGCATTTCTAACTCCCTGGGTTTCCACTGCACATTTGGATTTAGGCTCACAGCTTCATGTATGCCCTCTTGGGGTCAAACTGTCTGAATTCCCAGGTCTTCCTTTGAAATCCATGTAGAAGTCACTATGACCTCATAACCCTTGCATTCTGCATGCGTGGGAAACCAGTTTTAAATTA